TTGGCTAAATAACTATGCAAACTGGCACCGTCAAACGTGCGTGCGATGCGATGAACAATTAATAATAAGAAGAAACGAACGTGAAAAAAAAGAGACAAAGTCGATAATATGCTGGTTGAACAAACAAAACGTCAATTATAAGATAACTGCTTCAAATGCCGTCATTATATTGTTTATTATGATATCTAATATTGAATCTCAGCATTTATTTATAAATGCCGGTGTAAAAAGAACACTTTCATCAACGCCACTTGAACGTGGTAATGACATGCTGAAATGAAATTTTATGTGCTCCTTCTTTCATACTCAGACGAAGCCAACACGCCTCGGTGTTTGAACACACTTTGAATGTAATTGAAACACTAACCCTGTAACAATGCACAAAAAAAGGGACGGTCGCTTGATCTGCATTTGACCTCCGGAATTCTGATGAGTCATAGCCCATTAAAATTATACAAATGTGACCAACTTTCCAATTTTTTTTTGCTGGCCCTTTTCAAACGATTCAAATTCATTTTTTAATAAAATTTAAACTGCCATTTCATGATTTCAATATAAACGGGAAAAAAACATGATTGTATAATATGAACATGTCAAGATTCAACCTCAAAATGAAAATGAGCGTTAACCAAGCACATTATGCAATCATTTCACATGGGGAAAACACACACTACACTTGATTATCTCGCTAGATGTAAATCTGTGAGAATCATTCATAAGCCTATGCGTAAATTAACATTTATGTGTGGGGTAAATCATTTTGTAAATGAACAACGGCGCTTCATTCATATTCCGCAATCATTTTGTGAAACTGAAACTTATGATTATGAATGAAACATTATTTGTAATAAATAAACGATGATTATTGATTTTACAAGCATTGACTTTTTTATTGTTTTTTTTTTTTTATCCGATAAAAACTCAACCATTCATAAATCAGTCAATTAAATGTGACGCATTTTCATATTGAATGCGAACGACGAATGGAATATTGAAGAAATAGACGAAAATAAATTACCATACACTAAATATGTGGCACTTTTTCATGTACTTTAGCACAATTGCACATTCAACATGTGTTTTTAATTGAAAGCTACTAAATTTAAATGTAATTCGCCAAAGAATTTTGAAACATTTTCATACAAACAAAAGAAAGTATGACATTTCATGAAGATTCATTGTGGCATGTTGTGGTGTCACTTCAGAATGTGGCACGTGTGTGTTTTGTACTTGAATATTTTATAGAAAATCTTTTTATCCCGCCTTTCTCTCTCTCTCCCTACCTGTGCCTCGAATTAAGAATTAACGAACAACTTTTTCATGCACAAATTTAGCAATTTATGCGCATTCTTTGAGAGTTTTCTCAAGCAATCCAGAGTATGACGGAAATTCAAATAATCGTAAAAACCATGTTTACCTTACCTAATAAAAGCGACCACATTTCTACGTTAAACAAATTCACTTTAATGAGAATTTTCAATGTTATTTAAATGAAATTACCTCGTTAAAATGAATCTAGAGCAATTGCCATCGCAACAGCATTGCATTCTATACGTTTGGTGTACTGTGCTTTTAAAATTAAATTAAACCAATTTGGTGTCAGTAATATGGATGTTCTTTCGAATTGTGTAGATGATTGGTTGTTTTCTCTCTGACCATGCATAACACAATTAAATCGAACTGTTGATTTTATCGAGAAATCATTTTCTAGATATTTCCATCTTTATTGATGAATGACATGATGATACTTTTTAGATTTGCCTATGTCACTAAGGTTGTGATTACTAAAGCATCTTATGATTATGACTAACTTGAATAACAATGAATAAACAAAACCATGTTTTTGGTAACACCAAGGACGACGACCATTTTATCTCGCTCGCTCTATAAATTCATATACTATGCCGTTGCTCAAACATATCAAAATCATGTGCTATAAATATTTATTGGATTTTCCGATGGCATCAATAAAACATATTTTGCCACGAACCACAATATCTGTGTACCGTTGGCTGTCATCATCGTTGTTGTTGTTGTCGTTATTTTTTAGTGGTTGTTTGTTTTCATCGTATTCACAGTCGTCTATTGCGTTTTAAAGCGATTGCATCAGATTTTCAATTTATTTCCGATAATTTTCGCTACACAAAACCAACGATTTTATTTCAATGACAAAACTGATTTCTAAAAAAAGAATCAACTATTGATTCCAGCCAATTTTGTACACTTTAATATGATACCTAAGGCCGGATTGTGTTGGCATTTTGGTACTCGTTTCTTCCACATCATAAATTCATGTTGATTTTCTTTTCGTGTGCCATTGCCATTGCCATAATTTGACAATGGTTGCTCGACAACGACAACAATAACATCAACAGCATCGTCAATATTACCATATACTCAATTCAAATATTACTTGGCTCTTGCTCAAAATGAGATTACATTTCAAAAATATTTAACTTTTGAAATGTGCGATAAATTTTCAAACACCGTTTCTCATCATACAACAGCTATTTACAATGAACATTTGCTGCTTTCTCTCTCTCTCTCTCTCTCTCTCTCTCTCTTCGCCTTCCCCTTTGTTCGAAAACACACTACATGCAATACTTGACAAAAGAAAAATGTTAAGTTGCTAAATTTCCCGTTGAAAAATGATTGCTAAGGGAAATATTGAAAAAGCGTTGGGTGCTGAAATAAATCTTTCGATGCTGTAAGAGTGTGTCAGGAAACTTTTGGCTGCATAAATTTTTCACACTTAGAATAGAAAAGCAATAATAGAAACAACGGAAGCAACAAACCAAACTTATTTTTTGAAAACATCTAGACTAGATTATAATACTGACAACGAAAAACTAGAATGAACAAAAATTAGACATGGATATTGTGTCGAGGTCAATCTAAAAGTTCATCAAAATTATAAACTTTTGACTATATCGCTTTTTCCATCACGAATGCTTAGAAAGAATTATGTCATGAGCGTACATACTTCGAATGACAAAAAAAAATTAGAATAAATATCAAATGGAAAATATTTCGCTGAAGAAATTATATAGAATGAATGTTAACCAGAGCATGAAATCGCACTTGTGCATTACCTTAAAAGCGCTTAGTGTACTTGTCAGGAGCCGCTTGTATTAGAAAATAGCTCACAATAATCACACAATAAGGCAGCGCTCGCCATGAGTGACGATTTCATGCTCTGATGATAACTGTTGCATGAAAAATAATAGACTGTCAGCATACAGAAAGACGTGTACTAAAAAACCGCAACGTGATGAATGACATCGATCAAAAAACGCGAATCGTCTCTTTACAATCATCAAAAATGCTGATTGCTTACTGCAGATTAGCGTGAATACTGAATAGATACAAATCAAACGATTCAATCTAATCACAATAACAAAAAAAAATGCGAATTCGAAAGCAAATTATAATTGAATTTCGATTTGGAGATTTTGGTGGTACAAGTACGAATTTACTGTATAAGCTCTATTATGATCGCTAATTCAAGGGGGAATACGTGAGTAATGAATCCCTCTCAACAAAATTTTTTTGTCGTTTTTTTTCTCTATCTTTGCGGAATTTAGACGATAAAAGCTCTTTACCGTATTATTTGTGGCAAAGCAATAAAGAAAAAAAATTGTTGAATTTCAGTCGAGCTTAATTTATTTCTTTTCATTTTATTTGTTTCGCTGGAATTTTCAGTTTGCGTCAAATATCTCCACTGGTGGTGGCTTGTGTTGCTTGTGTGTGTCTACCTATGTGAGACTGTGTGTTGTCAGCCTCCTGTGATTCACGTCAGCACAAAGCACACAATTAGTCTTCGTTCAACATTTCTTATCCGACTTAGATAATTTCTGTTATTGTCTCGTATGATACATTTGATGTACTTCGTTAGCTTATTGAAACGTGCTTGCGCTTTTAACCAACGCTTTGTATGAATCGCGTAATCATTTTTATGGCATTCGGGAAAATGCGAACGCCCGAATGTGTTTCCCATTGTAAATTTAGCGGAATGTGAGAGAGTTTTTTTTCTCTCTCTCTCTCTCTATCTACCTTTCATTCCCGTTCAGAATTCTATTCAATATCAAATGAAATGAAAAACGAAAACAATAACGCACAAAAAAGCCTCAAACTCATAAGTTATAGCATAGAAAGCAATTTTAGTCATATTCATATCGTTTTCAACTTTTTCTTTTGCTGCAATCGAGCAAATGAATGCGAAAAAAGGTGCATTAAATGTGCAAAGAAAAAAACGATGAATACATTTGGCTTGCGAAAATTGTGAATGGTTTATTATTATTTTAACACAACGCTGACAAATGTATGAACGAATATGCGATTCGCAAACAGAGTAAAAGACTCTCATACAATCTATCTGACATTCGTATGATTGTACGAAAAGCTTAACTCAATGGCACATGATATCTTTTATCGAAAGCTTGAAAAATGTGAAAAATTATGAAAAGAAATATACAGAAGGTTAGTGCTGTTGCTGCTGTTATTGTTGTACAACAACGAATGAACGAAAGACACGACGCAGCAAATTGACTGTGAATAATTGTGCGGAATGAAGAGGAATAACGCACAAATACGGTATGGAGTACAAAGATAAAAAGAAAGGCGAGCATTGCCGTTGAACTTTGTGTATGTTCATTTTATGGGGAGCATTTGCAACCAAAGGCAGGCAGATAGGCAAATAGTTTTTTTTTACATTCGAATAGAAAACGGAAAATTATCTTTCTCGCATTTTTGTTTTCGTTTTCAAAGACATCTTTCTATTTAGACTGAGTTCAGTGCATCAATGTACGTTTGGCAATGTTCATCTTCATCATCTCAAAGTAATAATTCAGTTGATTGTCCCGACAGACGACTTGATTTTGCATTGTTTTGTTTCCCCTCCATTTTTATGTTTTGTTTTCGTTATTGTTTCGCATTTAATTTGTTGTAATTCAATTTCATCTTCTTCATGTGCAATTTCATTGTATGAATATTCAACTTACCATTGTGCCATAAAATCGGAGCTTATATGAGTGATCTGTGTGGTACGGTTGAAAAAATCAGTTATATTAATGCCATTGTCGGTTCTGGCATTGGAGTCCATGACGATAACTTCATAGAAAAATTAGTTGCCAATATATATTTTTGAATTGGATGAGATGTCGTTTCGTATTCGCTCTCCGTTCTGCACACGCCAACAATATGACGTTACAAATGAATGGGAATGGTTGCGGTTCTTGATTAAGATTACTCGCTTGTCGAAGCAGTGATAACACAAACAATACACTTGATGAATGAATGAGACTCTATTCGGTGTAGCTCGTCCGTTTTACTCCTTTTTTCTTCGCCCCTTTTTCTTGTTCTTCAGAAATCTGAAATTAGTGACGAGCCAAGCGTCGCCGTAATGTTTGCGTTTCCGTTGTGCGAGGAAGAGAGAGAGAATGAAAGATATTTTTGTGTCCCGTCTTCAAATTTTGTTTCGTTTCATTTTGTTTTTTATTCGTGCCTAGTATTTTGTTGTTGTTTTCTTGCTATGATTTGTATGTATGAGTGTGTGTGTCTGCTCTCTGTCCTTAGAAGCAATTCACTTAAGCTGTCATCTGAGCTTCTGTCTCCTTCCGATGTCAATAATCTGAAAATTTATGAAACAAAATAAATTTCGTTAAAAAAAACTTTTTTTTTGTACTTTTCTCGTATTTCAAGAAGTTTGATTGTGCAAGTCAAAGAGCAAGAAGTTCATTTCAATCTGTGTAACACGTAATATTTTGCTTTGTGAAAAATATGAAAATGTTTTTCTCTGTGTTTCATTTTTTGAATGTGTTTCTTTGGCACGAAAAGAATGACGAGAAAACCAGCGAGCAAAGAAGATTATATTTATGCCCACTGCATACGCTTACACAGGGGGGCAAAAATTGAAGGCAGTCAGTGTCATTCAAACAAAAGTTAATGCTTAAAGAGCATGCATAATTAAAGTATGAAAAAGAATTCTATAGAAAAGCATAAAAAACGCACATACACAGAAGAAATTTTCTCGATAATATCTTTTGATAAATAATCAAAGGCCATTTCACTTTGGCTTTCAGTCCGCTTTTGTTTTTGTTTATTGCTTCTTGTTGGTGCTTTTCAATATTTTTTTCTTTATTTTTTAATTTTAAAATTCCAGTTTCTCTCTTCCAAAATTGATCTGAGCAAAGTGCTGTGTGTCAAGTGCACACTACATGATGGTTTTTGAAAAAAAAAAAAAAAACCAAAATGAAACCCGATGAAAAGACTTTTTCATTGGAACCTTGGTTGTGTTCAATACAATGTAAAAGTATGAATAAACTCAACAAAAATACACGAAAATCTGTTATTTTTTTTAGTTTTTTTTTTCTTTTGTTAAGATCAACGGGTGAAAAGAAATATAAAATTACAAAAGGATTTTTTTGCTTGAGAGGTTGAAAATGAAGTGCAGAAAAGCCCGTAAAAGACAGCGTCCATCCATTCAATTTATCGAGAAAGTATGCTATCTGTTTTTTATATCTGGATACTTTCGTGTTTGTGTGTAAGTATATTTGTATACACTAATACTATTACCATAGTCATTGAAAAAGGTGATATGGCACAATATAAAAAATATCGACAACATTGACAACAACAACTTAAATGATTAAACCCATATTGTTTAGTTGATATTTTTTTTCGGCTCCTGTTTCCCGAATCGAAAGTGGATGACGATAGCATATCAGGTAAATACCGTAGAAAGGTATGGTAGAAAAACATCCAAATTATATGACCTTTATAAATTATCTAGTTTAACAACGTCCAAACGAATCTGTATAAGTTTCATCACAATGAATCGAGGGATGTGGCAAGGAAATTGCCCTTTTTTTGTTCAATTTCTTTTATGCGCACATCAAGTCTATTAGATGGAGTGAAAAAGAAAATTTAAGCGATGTAATGTGCGAGAACTTGCATTGATGTCTAGGCAGTGGCGATATTTTTTCAAATAATTCGCATGCACAAAAGATAGAATGTGTTAGATACATCAGACATTGATGGGGAATCTTCTTCATAAGATTGGGTGTCAATTTAAATACTGGTATCTTGAGGATTTTTTTTTGTTGATAATTTTCAAAAAGCCTGCAAATTATCTAAAAACCTTAAACAAGATTATTGTATAAAATGTGATGAACGACATTTTCAACAAAGATTGTCTTATCTTTTTCTCGCATTCCTGAATGTATATCAATGCGCTGTCGCATTCCGTCTGCACTGTGAATCCAGATTCAACACGAAGAAATCCAGCATACCTTTCATAAAAAAAGAAATCATATCAAGAGTTTGGATAGTATGTGTGTGTGTGTGTGTGTGTGTGTGGAAATACATTGCAAATGTTAAATCAAGCATGTGCTGCATTCACATCTCGACAATAACACCCGGTTTGCCATTCAACTAACGCGAAGAAAATCAATGTGTTAGAGAATTTACACCCCAACAAATAAGCAAAGCGAAGTGAAAGAGCTCAGGTTGTTGAATTACTCAAAAACTCAAATCCATAGCATAAGATGTGAAAACGTGTTTAGTTTTCGTTGAAAAATGTTTAGAATTCCCAAACAGTTCGTTCTTGATGATGGTGATATCACCATGTTGTTGCTGTTGTTGTTTGTGAATGTGCACGATGAGACCAGATGTAATGCCATTTTATGCGTACAGTGGGATGTGCGCGTGTTTTATCAACTCTAAAATACAGTAGGTATAGTTGAACACTTGTGCTTTGCAATCATCCACGAGTGTCATTTAATTTAACCGTAATATGGAAACTTTTGCACACTTTATGACTGTTTGGTTTTTCTTACTTAATGTAAAATTTGTGTAAATCCAAATTGTGTCGTAATTTTAATTAAATTTCCAGGTGAAAATGAGAAAGTTTAATAATGGCTCCACACCAAACTATTATTATCAATGGTTAAACGCTGGGAATAAAATAAAAAAAACACACTGATGTCGTGCTCATCATATAACATCGCGTTCCATTTAATCGACTTAAGAGAATTAACACTGATTGAATGTGTGGACTGTGGACACTGGGCATTGGACGAATACAGAAAAATGAAGTACGTGTTAGATTGCATTGAAAATGAAAACAATGACATTCTCTACGAAATACTTGAAATTTTTACTGCAATGCAATTTCATTAACTTTTAAAGACCATGACGATACTCTTCTGTTCATCGTTTAATTAACAAATATTTCATAAACAAAAATGTCCTTTGAACTGCTTCTAGTATTCAATTGTTTGAACATTGTTTTACTTAAAGGTATGTCAAGAGTATTCGCTTGCTTTTGAAAAGCAACTTATTAAACCGCTGACTTGTAGTATTTATTTGGTTTATGAATGCATTTAAACTGAATTTGATGTGAACGAACTTAATGAAATATATACTAGTATCGTAGGTATTAAAGTTGTTAAAGTATGCTCTCTATTTTATGTGCATTATTAAACTTAATCATTTTGACTTTTTGACTCTTTTATGCAGAAAATTATTCTGGACTATGATATTTTTCTCAGTATTGACCATTTGTAAACTGCTATCGCCTAAAATGTCAGCAATAGTTTTTCTTTTTAAGCTTCGATCTACAGTTTTTTGAACAACTTTTGTGAAATCGTTCCATTCACTTGTTTGGATAACCGACCTATGCCGATTTAAATCTCTATATTTACGAAAAGATGGTAAAAAAAGTTTATCCGCGATTCATTAGTATGACTAACATGTTATATATGTTATTCTATTATGAAGCCCACTCGGTGAAAAATTAACGACACAACTCGTTTTGCTTCGAGCAATTTTAAAGAGCAAAAAACTCATTGCGATAGAACATTCATTCGGCCACTATCATCGTTATGGTGATTTTTCGAACAACCAAATTATAATGCGAAATAGAAAGAGAAGAATGAAACCTTTGCAAATGCAAAGTTTATTCAAACGACCATATCAATATTTGCTTATGATTTTCATTATGCTTTACGGTCACACAGACTGTCGTATGTAATACGAGTGCTGAAACTGAATAGCTTTGCTAAATTCTCAGTACATGAACTCATTCTGTATGTGTGACATATACGATGATGCACGAATAAAAATGACTTTCATGTTGAACATTTTATTTAATTTACTCGTATTTTCGTTTTGTACCTTTTTTCCTGTTTGTTTCACGTATTTCTTAGTGTTGGTGGTGATGGTCGACACTCGTGCCCAGATTCATTTACTGTCGTTATGATGCAAACACCGCATTTTAGCTGATTTTTAATGCATAAACGTCATACCACAAAATACTTTAATATGGTAAATATTTCAGAGGGAGTGCAACACATGAAAACATATAAAGCAATGTGACACACAGTGCTAAAGTCACTTAATTTTCCATTTGTACTTTATGAAAGCCACATCGTTTGTCGGTAATAATGCGCGGTTCCAGTGCGGAATCAAATTTTAAAAGTGGAGATAGGACAACGAAATGAAGATAGTGAGAGAATAAAACGAAGAAGATGGCGAAATAAAAAAAGCGGCAACAGCATCAATTGTTAAAAAATTCTTTTTTTTTTTGCATACAAAATGGCCATAACACATATTAATATACATTGCCGAAAAATGTTGTTGTTGTCACCAACTGCACCAAAATGCAAATTATGGTTACTAATCAAAAGTTTATATATACACATCGTTGACGAGGACAAAATCGTATATGGTATATACCCGAAAAAACAACATCAGCACACAATTTGGTATGCTCAAATGTCACATTTGGATAAAAGATTCAAATGAACATTGAAAACTGGCATAAAATTCAGAAAGTGAACCTGAGCGAGATCAAGAAAGTGTTTGGATATTTGTGTGACTGTCATTTAATGAAAACGAGCATCAATGTTTAATCATCACCTACGACGAACACGAGAAATGCTTCACACTTTTCATTTGCTCAAACATACATTGAATCTGAACTGAAATGGTTGCAATTAAAATTGAAATCACTGATGCACATTAGAATCACATTCCTCTTAAACATTGACTCAACTTCTGTGGTCATTCGTATAAACGGACTTCATTTCATGTACATAAACACAGTAATTTAATAACGCATTGCTTCCAAATATCTGCGTTGTATATTTGAACGCTCTAGAATAAAAACAACGGACAGAATGGTTGTTATATTAAAGCGAAACACGGCGTTTTTTAAACATAGATTTGTTGTTGTAATACAATGTTAAAAAAACGCCGTGTTCCGCTTTAATATAACAACCATCCTGTACGTTGTTTTTATTCTAGAGCGTTCATTTCTTTTTAGCCTCAAGCGAGATGAAACCAGTAAGTGCATTTCGGATGAATGTCAATATAATTTTGTTAATAAGTTTTTTCAATGCATTTATTTTATCCTAAATAGTTTATTGCTTAAAAAACAAACAAACTAGAAGTCGAAACCACTTATATCTCAAAGAGTATCATTGGAATAAAAAAAACAGTGTCCAGCGGAAATGTGAGCATTCATTTTTCCGGGCCTCAAGATACGATGGAACTAATTAGCAATCATGATGTTTAATTAGGTTAAACTCACTGTTGACCGGGAAAATTAAGTTGGTGGGAAAAGTGAAAGATAGAGAGATAGGCACTTTTTATATTGTTGCCAGCACATTGTATGGATCTAGATTGTTCCTGTCGATGTGCAAATATTTTGTTTTTAAAATGAGAATCTTTATTTCATTTCCTTCATTTTTCTTGTTGCTTTATCCGCCCACACAATTATAATTACATTCGCTTTAACTTTGTAACAGGGCCGACAGAAGTAGGGTGTAAAAATATAGTTAATTTGAATTTGTTTCTCGCGTTGTGTGTGTGTGTCCGTTCATTACCACGATCTGTGTCATTTTGACGATGTTATTCACTGCGATGCTTTCATTAGAGTGATCTTATTAAGTCATCATCGTCATTATAGTAATTCGGTTAAAAAAATGATTTTTTTTGTTGTTTCTTGCAAGCTGTACGTTTCAAGTTATTTCCGCAAATCAAAATATTAGATCACGTTCCAATTCATGAACATTGCATAGCACATCGCACGTAATATGGTCAAGAGTTCATCGCTTAAAAGAAATTCCCACTGAATATTTTCAATCATCACATTATACATTGTGGTTTATTCGCAAAAGAACTTAAAGTTATTGTAGCTATTAAATGAGAGTAATTTTAACTTGTGAACGACACAGCCAAAGATTATAACAACACCAATATGCACAGAGAAAAAAAGAGACACACAGAAAAAAACATGGTAAACTGTCTTATAACACATAACCAACATAATCGCTTTGGTTCTGGTAAATTAATGGTTTTGGTCGGGTAAAAAAATGAAATTGATTTTAGCAGCCCAAGTTGATGAGTGCACAAGCTCACACCGATTTGTTGTGTATTTCATTTCTCTGCTATATTTCTTTCACTTCCTTAATGCGTTTCTGTTTTTTTTCTGTTCTTCTTTTTCTTTCTGTTCGTTTCAGTTTGTTTACGGTAAATTAAACTCTTGTGACTGCAAAATTCGCGCATATCCACGATGGTGTATTTCTTTTTCTTTTAGTCTTTTTTTTGCTCTTCAAAAATTGAAAACCGAATACAAAAAAAACACCAATGTTCAAGTTAATACTTTTTGGTCGCACTTAATTATGTTAAATACATGAATATACGTTAGCGCAATTGTTCATTGCAAAAGACAGACGAATTTCATTACAATGAAAATAAAAGTGAATGTTTTCGCTGCTTGACGGTGCTTGCTCCTCTTTTGCTCTCCAGTTCTGTTTATATGTAATCGCGGTCTTTGATTTATCTGAATATAAGCGATACAAAATCCAATCTAATTTCATATGATTTTCGTCTCTCCCATAAATCGGTCGATCAAACACTGTTACAGTTTTTTAAATTTGCAATTCATTGAGTGTGTCAGAATGTTGTGTTTCGAAGTGAGTATAGTTATCCGTGTATCGTGGAATTTTCTTTGTTTTCAACAGTTGTTGTTTTTTTTTATTGTGCCAATTACAGATGCGTTCGTTATTGATTCATGCAATCTTGTTGGTGTGTCAACAATCAATTTTTCGTACGGAGGCCAGTTTGTCCGATTTACCGTTACTATCTGGTGGTTACGAAATCAATGACTATTTATCAGCACATCAGTATCAAAACACCCCATGGATTGTATCCAATTTTCCAAATGTCGATTATATTGAACAACATTTTTTACCAACACAAAATATTGACTATGCACCGTTGGATGCATCAAATCATCTTGGGAATGTCAATCACATAAAAAACCATTTAGGAAACACATTCATACCAAGTATTGCCGATAAAACGCTCAATACTCTTCTGAATACCGATACAATTCTAACACACTCGAATCCAATCGTTCAAATTGGCCATCATGAAGGTGAAAAGTGCATTGACCAACATCATCAGCACCGTCACATTCATAATGTCGATGTGGTCTCAGCCCACAAACCATTTGGCGGTTACAAAAAGCAAACGATTACCTCTGGTAATGAACAATTTTAATGTATATTTTTGAGAAGAAAAAACAAATTGTTGGTTTTGTCTTAATATTTTTTTTTTTAACCTAATTTTGTGACATTAATGTTCATTTGCAGTTCAACGTCCGATCAATTTGAATGTATCGCCACATTCATTATTTGTACCAATTTCGAATGCTCACATTTATCCATCGGTGCATGTTCCGATTGTGAAATCGTCGTCGATCAAAGAAATTGCACCACATTTACCGAAAAAATTTCTCGGCTACACTGACAAATATGTATTACCATATCATCATCTATTAGACAAGGGAATTGTTCAACATAAAAAACCATCATTGTTCGTACAGATTCCAACGCTTAAGAATGTTGTTTTTCATCACACTAATTGAGCGACAACATTGCCGTCTAAGACCATATTGCCCGGATATGAAACGAGCTGATAAGATCATCATAAACATTAATAGACATCATAAATTGTTTAATTCGCTTGTATAAGGACAGGACCGATTTTTTTTTTTCATACCAAGATACTTTGCTTTATATTTATAGTACGTCATCCCGAATAAATATTGCCATATGCGTTACAAAAAGGATAAGATTGTTGTAGAAAATTATAATTTCATCAAGCACAAACGAATGGTGGACAATATCTCAATATAGGGTCCGTAACATATGTTTGTTTTTGTTTTCGTTTCGGCTTCTCCAATTTTTCAATTTATACTTCTAGTAAAACTTTCAAATAAGTTTTCACTCCTTCTCGCATTCTTTCTTGCTCAAGCAACATGGTTTTGTAGAGAGTTGAAAGTTTGTAAAAGGAGCTCATGAATTTAATATGTGTAGATTAGAATAAAGTTAATACGATAAAAGATTTATCCGTTTATGTAGATAATATATACATATTTATGAAACATATTTTGCACTTAAAAATCATATTTCTTTTGATATAATTAAATTCGTTTGCGTGGTTTTCAATCATAATCAGTTATACTTTGTGTAGTCATGTTGTTAAGTACTTTGTGATGGATAATTATAGTATTTTCAGTGTTCAACAACGGTAAACTGTTATCATAAAACATTATTTTAATTCGTTTCGGCAAGTTATATTTACCTTTTTTTCATCGTGTATTCTTCAATGGAACACTTCTTTCGACTGAGTAAACAAGAGAGAGAAAAAAATGCAATAAAATGAAACAAAACACCGAAGGTAAATGCTTGAGTTCGAAGAACCGTTGACATTTTATCAAAATTGGTTTGATTTGAGGGTCAATACTACGAATAATACAGACAGAATCCTTAAATTATGAATTCGTTCAATTTTCGATGAATTTTTCAGTTTATGTTTATAAGAATATCAAATATTTTATTCATTTTATGAAACGACTGTCTAAATATTATTTCAAGACAATATTTTTCCACCATAGTTTTTATTTTGTTAAGCAGAAGAAAAAAAATGAACGAACTTTTTTTCCTACGTTATGGTGAACCACACCAAATTCACATTGATTTTGATCGAAAATACACATATGTAATGGCAGATTCTTTTATAATAAATCGACTATTGACATAAAATATAGCACTGTTTTCAATATCTCGTTTAAATATCGAATACGAATAGCTCATCGTTGTCAGTGATTTGATAAATGTAACATGATCTACGTCGTTTAATGGGCAAAAAAAATTCTATTGCCACTGTTTGAATTATATTCAATTCATTCGAGCCGTATCTATATACTTTCACTTTATTGGTAAATGTATGGTAAAGTCAATTAAACAACTGTAATAAAAAAACAACAAACAACTTTTCTGAAGAGAAATAAAAATATTTTCACTAATGAAATTTTAACGTTAGAAAATAACATTATTTCCTCACTTTTTTTTCATTATGTCGAGTATAACAAAATTATGTTTGTTATTCTTTCAATTCTCATCGTTGGTAAATTGTTCGCATTCTTTACAGCGATTTTCGTTCAGCCCTATTTCACTCGATTTGGTTTGCGATTCAATGAAACGGCATCGACATTGACAGCCAAGCACCACTAACAATAAGTGACACAATGGTTACATGTTAGTGGAACAGTACACTACGGATCGGCTTGTATGTACATTGTACAGATATAAAAATATCGATATTTGATGAGTGGCATTGTCGAGCGCATTCAATCAAAGGATATTGTATTATATTTGGTTCATCTGGTGAATCAGTTGCATTTTATTTGCCTTTATCAATAGATTTTCGTATGTACGGTTATGTAAAATATCTTGAAAAATGTTTACATTTGATAGGTAAGTTTGTATCTTCAGTTGTTGTTGGTCACAATGAATGTATGCGGCCACTGTAACACCGCTTGTCACAAAATTGTTCACATGCACCGCAACGATTATTGTTGTCGTTTTTGTTCGACGTTCAAGCACAAATGCAAGTCATTCTTTATGTTATTTTGATCCGAACCAATTTAAAATTCCATTAATATATGAAAAGCACTTTAACAAACAAATACACGTGATCGAATCTCGGCTTAGATATTCGAAGTGCATGCCACATACAAAGTGTTGACAGTGAAAACTTTTATGTAACGGCTTACGTTCAGTGTATCAGATTTTATGTTTGGAAAACATTGCTTTTTGTCGTCTTCACATTGGTAGCACGCTATGTAATGAACCAAAAATCCACAAGTTAACTGAAACTTACGCGATCAATGATATGGCCGCTGAAAATGCAATGGGATCCAACAAACATGAAAATAAATTATGCAGTCAACGTCAAACCTAGACAAAGACATTCATTTTCACTAAAAATGGAAACGGCGTCCGCATTAAAACCAACGAGATTAAAGAGTAACAAATGAGTTGATACGATGCGCAACAGACTGTTCAACAAAAGAAATAAAAACCATCCGCCCGAACCGATGATGAAAATCAAACCCAACGAAATTAATTTGTGTGATTTTGTGTTTGCTGGTGGAGAGTTTCACTATATTCATTTGCATTTCGGTCGCATTTTCAATGACCCAGGCTGAGATACCGAATGCAATTTCAATTGTAGATGTGTGTACAGTGCAGAGTATATGCAATCAATAAAATTTCTGTTTTCAGTTGAAATAACAATGTGCAAGCACGTGTATATTTTGTCCTTCGTTTCATTAAGTCCGTTCCATGAAAAATGCAATCGTTGCATGTTGTTTCAGTTGCATTTTAATCAAAATTGTTCCATTTGCAGCGTGAATTAAAGAATAAAATTTAAATTGTAGGCTGTATATAAAAGAGAGCTAACTTAAATTGCTGGAATCTGACTTCAATATTGGAACATCTTCAAATCGCATTGAATACAAAATATTTTTTTTGGCTAGACACGTAACATTGTTACATTTGGAATAGCTCTTATATTCAGGGTAGCAATTAATATTTCCAACATTTTTATCACAACTCATTGATAAATCTCCATTTTTCGTTGCTTTTTTGTATTTTGCACATTTTTACCAATATAATAGACAGACAGCGAGTATGCGATGAACGGTATGGTGTCGCATTTGCTATTCCCATCTATCACATGTAGCATATTCCGTCTAATTTTCGTCGTGTTCCGTAAAATAACTAACGTGATACGAAAAAAAAGAGTCATCCGTGTGCCATTCATTTATATCGTTCTTTTGCCATTTCGTTCGTTTTATATACTTGGTGTCGCATCGATTCGTCTCCATTCATTGTTCCGAATAGACGTTTGATTTACACAAGCATTTGCAATTTATGCTTGTGTTCTCAGTGTGTGGTTTTTTTCTCTTCGGCAACTACCTCAACTACCTCAAATTCTGTCATTTTATATATGCGGATGGGAGTGTCGTACATTTTGTTTGTCAAAATTTTTCGGTTAGGCTGTGCGAATAACAGCAGCAGTAAATGTAACCGAATTAGCCATTTAACATGTAACACGGTAGAGCACGCCAAAAAATCGAAAAATAGCTGAACAAGTTCACGATGCGCACATTTTCTCGGCGAAACGAAATGAGAGAAGACGAGGAAAAATTGATTTTCAATTATGCAAACATAAATTTTTTATGTAAGACCCATACGAAGTATCTATACACAATATAGTACACACGCAAACATAACACATATGCTTCGTATTTGGTAATTTTGGTTGTTTTAAAGCGACACTTTTTGGCTTTTAGATATGTCGTAAATGTATTTATTTGTCACATATTTTGACGACATGGTTTTTGGTATAGTGTGCGAAACCATGTATATACCTCGTTTTATTTTGCATAGATGAATCGACACAAATACATAAAACGAAGAGGCACACACGCGCATATGGTGCACGTGTGCTCTATTTCTATTTTCTTTTCTCTTTTTTTTTTGGTTTTTGGATTCGCTAGATCGACATTGATTTATATTACTTTTTCCAATTTATTTAGATGTATGCCTTGTTCGCTTGTGAATAGAATCTAGAATCTATTTGATAACCATCCGAATCTAGTAGACGAGCATCATGCATGCCTCTATGTCTGCGTGTGAGTATGTTTTTGTAGCCAAAATTTTGCATCATTCGCTCCATTGTTTTTGATCAGAAACGCAATTCGATTTTATGAGCGCGTACAGATAAAGATGCTTCTCAGCTTCCGATCGATCCACAATCGAAAGTAGAAAGAGAAACACACAGAGAGAGAGATGACAAAATGAGACAGTGAAAACAACATATGGAATGTATCCATGTAATCGGTGTCTAATAGACACTGTCTATGTTCAAAAGGTATAACCAAAAAATTGCTCTTACCTTTTTTGTATCCACATCTTGCACGCATCAAATATATTGTTTTCTATGGAAATTGCCATTCTAGGTTTAACATGTGATGCATGTGTTTGTGAGTTTTTCGTGGTCTGTGTCTAGGTTTGTGTCGTTAAAGAGAACTTTCTCTCTCTCTCTCTCTCTCTCGATCTGTCTCACTCCATGTTCAGTTATTTCGAGGAAATTGTTAATTGAGTTCATGCCGTTTTTGACTTTTTCAGAACCGAAGTTCTATATAGTCAAAGCTAGCGAAACTTTCTCCTTATTATTTATGAATGCACAAAAAGCGATACATAATTATATGTCCAATGGTGTGTACGAAAATTGGAATGAAACCGTTTGACAAAGCCATCAAGACCTTTAGACGAGATTCAATTAAAAAAAGTGAATCCCGGTTTCAATGATTGAAAAGAAAGATGGTACATCTCCCAAGCTCGTCTATTTTTTCAAGCGAACAAATTAAACTAGCTGGATTTTATTTTTAAACAATAAACTTTTCATTCATTTTTCCGATCCAGTTTATTACGCTGACTGCGTTTTATTTAATTCGTTGAACGCACAATGCCAAACAAAAGGAACTGTATAGAAATTTCGAATATAAATCTTAAGAAGTATTTTTGCAACGGATATTTTACAAATATTTTCCTACTTTCGCCAGCTTCAATTTCGAAAGAGTAAAACAAAAAAATGATTTCAATTCATTTTGTTTGGAAAAACATTTACATTACCATTGTTCCACAAATAGATAGTATTTCTTTCAGTATGTTTTTTTGTTTCTTTTTTCTTCATATATATTTTTTTTTTACTTCCTTCGAAGAAAGAAAACTTTCAAGCAAACGGAAATCGAAACATAAAAACCTACTCCTATTATAAAATGTACAAAAGGTTCGCATGCATAAACAATAGCAACAAGTTAGAAGAAGTCTTGTTCGACATTCAACGAATAAATTGAGACCTGCGAACGAAATGGAT